AGAGAGAGAGAGAGAGAGAGAGAGAGAGAGAGAGAGAGAGAGAGAGAGATGTACAAACTAGACTAAGACATGAAGAGAGCGGAGAGAAGACACGACATTAACTCTCGAGAAGACACTCGCTCTCGTCCCTCTGGCCCACCGCAGGCTGTCAGATAGTGACATGTATGCGTATCGAATGGCGATGTCCGATCGATGCGGGCTCAGCAACAACAAACAAACAACGAACAAATATAGTTGCGGACTGTGGACTTGATTTCTTTTGTGGTAGGACGAATTGTTATTTCAACACGCTTGCCGCCCGCGATAGATGCGCACCGCTGCACAAACGAGCAGACTGTCGGTTTCCAAACCTCACTGCGTAAAAATGATTGATTGTGTTGCCATCTACCTTATCTACCTTATCGCTCAAATTACGACTACGAAGCAGACTCAAGGTAAGGCAGCAACACGCTAACCGATGCATACCACCCATGCACGCAGAAAAAAAAAAAAGCGAGGCGGACCTCTGTTGTTGCTGTTGTTGTTTGTCTCTTCAACTGTGCTGCCATTGCTCTTAGTGGATAACGACACTGGGAAAAACGTAAGAGACGGGCATCGCCTACGCGAGCAACGCGTACAGCCCAAAACGGCAGAGACGATAACTTTACGACCTTTGCAGCTCATTCCGAGCATGCACTGCAGCAACCGCATGTGTACAGCAGCAGCAGCCGCATGTATGTATGTGGACAACGGTCACTCACAGGAAGAATATAACAAGCAAACGCAACACAAGACAAAGGTTGTGGCGCGCAGCACGCAGGACCCTCCTTCGCTGTTCAACTGGCTGTTCCCATGGCGAAACATACGAGGAACAGTCAAGGCCGAGTCATGTCCGCCGCACGAGGTGTAAGCTGCTCAAATTCGGGAAGGGGTCATGGCTTGTGATTCCGTACCGAACAATACTTGGGGCGCCACGAGATTTGCAGTGTAGCCCGAGAGCAGCATTGGAGACTGGGTCGGGCCAGGGGTTGGGAATGCGATTGAAAGTTCCACCCACGGATATCGAACGATGAGTCTGAAGCTAAAGCTTCAGAATTTGTGACCGCCCCCTCAATGGTGGCGGGGCTTGTGAACAGTTCGGCTTCCTGACGGTTTCAACCCCCGCCCGTACCCCCAGGTACCAGAATGACGATGGGGTGGACGAGATGATGGACTTTAAGCTAGAGCCGGACATGCACTCGTTCCAGAAGGCGAGAAGGCTGGGGTTGGACGTCAGCCCCGCCGCCGCGAACACCGACATCCCGGTGTTCTACGCAGAGGGTTTAGAGGTAAGGGTGGTACGCTTGGGGTTTTGTCCTGAAGCTGTCGTGTGGCGTTTCTTCCCCGGAAGGCGTGGGAACAACGGTTCCCCGGAACCACACTCCTTCGCCGCCGGTGACTTTGCTGAGATCGTTCGTTGGGAGTTACTCCTCCCATGTAAGGGCGCCCACCGCAGGGGGGGGTTGTACTCGTAGTCGTGCATGGTAGTTGTTAGACCATTGACCTCGCATCCCTTCAAATCGGGGACGGAGCACGCCAGGTTTTCATAGCACCAGAGTAGCGCATCACCGAGTACGAAGTGCTTTGAGGTGTTCGGCAACTCGCAAGGGGGGAGGGGGGTTGGTGTTTCCCAGACTCGCCTTCGCGGTGCTGCAGGGGTTGGTCTGAGTGTCTGAGTGCGTCGCGATAATGTTACCGTACCCCGTGAGTACCATTACCGCAGGTGGCCTCACTTTTTGACTTTTATTTTCTGGCGTTGTGGAGACAAGACTGCGGCTCACCTCGAAGCTGGGCGTGTAGCAACTGTTGTAGCAGTTGGAATCAATCGTTCCGCCCTCGAAAACACATGGGGCGAGCCGTCGTATTTTTTTGCGACTTTGGCTTGTTGCTGCAGACTCTTCAAAAGGGAAACAGGCACACGCGATCACAAGCTTCTCGACCCCTACGCCTCATCCAGTGAAATGTGGGTCGTTGCAATTCGCTTGTTTTGTATCCCCACCCACCCCGCTTCGCTCTTCGACTGTGCTTCTGGGCCGATCGCCTTCACGTATCATTTCAAGAAACAAAGCCCTTAGGCTTCGACCTCGAGAACCTTGTGTACCCTCTCCAGAATATAACGTCCAAAACTGAAGTCAGTGGTTACCTTACTCCTGTGTAACCTCGGCGGTGCGTCAAACAAAAACACACACGGAACGGCTTAAACTAGCACCCGAAAGAAAGCACTTTGAAATCACCTCCCGACCGCCCCGCCGCCATCTCCTGCGACTGTCTTTGTTCTTGCGCTGACGGGAGACAGGTTAAGCGGGATGGAGGGTTGGTGAAGCCTCTCTTCATGGACCCGGCCGACCTGGTTGAGGCGTGGAAGAAAGCGACCGCTTCGAACCCAGATATGCCCGCAGAGCCTACAGTCAAGGTGCGCCTCACTCCCTATTGCTCCCGTATGCTGTCGATTTTTTCCAACGCCTTGGCCATGCCGGAAGCAACCTTGGCGAGCACATTAACTCGGAGGGTGACCCCAGTCAAGTGTCGTCCATCTTCGTAGTGCTACAAAGAACCAAGCCCTTTTGTTGGCTCGGGATGTTGATAGTTTTTTGTTTCCAGCCCCTCCCAAGTCATCGGTGATGTTTTCCCACCGGCGTTTGGATGGGGGCCACTTGCGCCAGACCGCTCAGCCTTTCACCAAGTGGACCGTCCAACCGGTTCGTGAGCAAAGACTGCGTCAAGTGCGGCGGTACGCATCCCATGCCCGGGGCAGGGGCGAGTCAGTTATCTTGATTAAAGCCGGGAGATACTGCCCGCCGCTCTTCAAAGATGGTGGATGTCGTTGTGTACATGCGTCGTGTGAAATTTGTCCAAAAAGTGTCGCTTGGTGCGAAATTCGTGGCACGATCTGATGAATGGTTGCCGTGAGGGGAAATACCGAGGGTCGCTCCGGTAGACGTACTTGTTTCCCCCCCCGCAGTATATTTTCTGCCTAGGAATGTCCGCGATGTCGTCTTTTGTCCACTTGTGGGGGAGGCGGTTATTCACTCCTTGTGGTTTTCGTTCGATAGACAGGCGGTTCCGGTCTTGTATTTGCGACGCGTTTGCGGTTTTTTTCTTCGCCGCCTTCTGCCTGGCGACCGCGGGAAATGGTGTCGTGTCAGCCTTTTGCGAGATGGCCTGCGTCTCACTCATGCCCATTCCGATGTACACGCCCGCCTCGAGATATCGAGGTTTTCCCGACGTTCCATCGGATTGTAAGGTCGGCTGCACCTTTGGGGAAAATGTTGTTTGTGGATCTCATCTCCTAGATTACGCTGCTGCCGCGGGTACGTTTGCCTGGGATGTCGGTCCATCTCCCTACTCTCCCTACGGATTTCAGACTTCACCCCCCTAGAGCACGAGTATGTTTGCGCACGTCGCACAGCTTCTTTGCGTTGGAAGGATTCATGTCACTGGCACATTTGCACTACAGTGTGATGATGCTTGGCCGTATCCAGGCTTGTTTTATCCGTTGTTCTCCCTAACCCCAGCCCCTGGTTTCCTGGACACAACCAACCGCTTGGCTTGTCGCGACTGGCACACCCAGGTGTTCAACATGCCAGACGTCATCGTGGCCATGGAGCTGACGGACGAGTTCAATCAGTTCGGTTTTTTCGCTTCGACGGAGGGCGCGGAGTTCATAAAGCAGGCCCGAGACGCCAGGAGGCCTTTCCCAAAGCCGCGACTAGGCAGAATGTGGGCCTTTTAAGTGCATCATGATCTAGTGGCCTTCTGCCCCTGCATGGGGACACTTAATTTGGTCACGACGTGTCTGGCTGTGACTACCGTTAAGTTGTGGTTCGACGGCTCGTGTGAGTTAGAGGATCTCATCCTCGTGAACAATTGACCGCTGGGCTGACTTTCTGGGTGCTTGAATATGTCGACTGAAAAGTGCCCATTTTTATTTGTGCTGCAGCGATGGGTACTGCTCTGCCGCCTTTGGCTAGTGTGAGTATAGCACGCGCCAGGGTGCCGTTCAGCTTTTTTTTTTGGTGTCGAGCTTATATCGTGCTGGCTGCGTCGTTTTTCCGCGTGCCTCTCGGGGCTCGAGAAAAAGATATTGCGACTTTCGGCATCGTGCGATGAAGCTGAAGCTGCCGCGGTACAGCGCCATTTCATGGTTGACGACTGTTGGTGAAATCGAAGGCCCTGTAGCACGGGAATGAAACAAGCGGCGACTTTGTGGTGTGTTTTGGCCTTTTTTCAGTTCCAGTGGGGTGAGCAACATAAATGTGGGCTCGCCGATCGCTGCAGCGACTGTCGTGTTTGGGGAATGTGTTTGGAACTGTGGTGTACAGGAGTCGCTCCGAGTTTTGCCGTTATTTTCAGTACCGTTCGGGAGGTGTCTCGACACCGCATGCGAGTTATGATAATTGCCTTGCCTTTATTTTTTTCTCGGCGTCAGCCCGAAGAATATTTGCGCCGAGCGTGATCTTATGTTGCAGTGTGTCTGTTTTGGTTCCTTTCTCTCTACGATCAAGGGGCGCACCTTGAAAATGCTGCAGCACCTCACCCGCTCACGCGTTTTATTGCGTCTTGTCAAGGAAGCACAGCAGCCCCCATCAGATAAAAGCACTCTAAAAACATGTAGCGTTTTGTCTCCTTCAGGAGAGCACTTTCTAGACAACAGACTTGTTCCGCTTGCTCAAGGTCACTCGAAAACATGGTTTCTAAATGGCCAGGATGACGTGTTGCCGAACCAAGGCTGGCAATTTCGATCAAAAACCGCTCCAACCGCTCATTCAAACTTTGGTGCTGTACGCAACACCTGCACTGTACTACGAAAAGTCTTCTCCACTGATTTGCAGACAGCATATCATCAACAGCGGTCGCGGGATGGGCGCCTCTGATACGTTGGCCGGAGCACCATGTAGACTAGTCCAGAAAGTCACGATCTTCGCGCTTTGGATGACGGCCAACTAGCTCCTTGTGCATCCTCCCGTCTGTGTGGCCATTCGTGACGCTGCTTCCGTGCGCTCGTGTTCGGGGGGCAAACCCTTTGGTACTCTCGGTGATGGGCAGCCTCTCTCCAGCGTGGATTGCGTCTGCCAAATTATGCTGTGCGGCCTTGCGTGTCTTACAATGTTGGTATTCATGCGCAGCCATGATGACCAGTCACTTCCTGGTGGTGGAATGAAAATGACGTGTTCCAACGGGTGTCAACTCTGCGGGAGTTTTCTTTGGCCCACCCAAGCTGGTGGCGACGGCAACACGGAAGAATGACTTCGCTCTTCAAGTCGCGTTGAGCGGACCAATTGTGACAGTTTCGCGGATGCCCGCGAAGTAGTGGTCTCCTCTAAAACAGCGAACGCGACAACGTCCTGAACTACCCTGGGCCCTTACCAAGCTCTATGCTACAGAGGTCACCCCCAAGTGGTTGGCAAGCCGAATTTCGTCGAAAAATCATTTTCACATCCAACAGACAAGGAACGAAACCATGACAATTCGTGTTTTTGGTTACAGCGACAATAAAGGATCGTATTTCCGGTTCACGAAAGAACATAACTGCATGCACACCGTGTGTCCGACCAAGCGTTCCTCTGGACTTAGTCGTGACAAACTACCGGTCACTTCGGATCACCGCGGCGTTTTGGTAATACACACGAGCCTCTTTCACTTTTAGATGATAGAAGGCCCGTCGGCTTGCACACATACCTCATCGGCTCCAAACGCATAGCGAACTTAGCCTTCACCACCCATGGGTGCTTCTCCTGGTCCCTGCGTAATGATCCGAAGCACTGGTGGTGGTGCTGTCCGTTCTTCCGTTGTGGCACGACGTCGACGCTGCAAACAAGGCGGCCGACGGTTGCCTCTGGGTGTCTTGGATCCCACTACCGTCCAGATCATCCAGGAACTTGAGGAAGCACAAATTGTTGATTGGGACAGAGTGGGCCGTGTGGATTAATGGAAACTTGTTGCTTTCTCCCCTGGTCCACGCAACGTATTGACTGCTTGTTTGCTGCCCGTTCAACTTGTAAACCCGTAAAGGACCAGTTGGTTGTAACCGCCAAGTGCACGGTTGAAGAGTTCCGCAAGTTTGCCAAAAATGCATGCCCAAATCTCGCGTGGTCCTATGATCCCTCCATTGGAACATGTACCGTGGAACATCCATGCGTACTACTTTAATGTACCGGATACTACCGGAACGTCCTCTGGAGCACAACCACAGCAATTCTTCTACATCCTGCGACGAGGGGCCGACGGACGGTTGAAGGGGTAGCGCTTGCCCCACCCAGAAAGCGCTGTGAAAAATTGTGGGAAAAAATAACGAAACGCGCGCAGCACACCAGCACTGCTTGGGACACGGACACATGGGCCTGGTGAGAGGAGACACTTGCTGCGGTTTTTGAAGCCGCCCGGCTGATCGTCCCCAACAAAACACATACATCTACACATTTTCACTTTGTTCGTGCTTCGAAGCTACGTTGTCGTTCTGTTGAGTTTCCGGACTCACTCCTACACAATGGTTGATGGCACCATTGTCACACCATGACGTCTTGGTCTGTGTTTCACCCTGTGAACCCCTGTACTCCGTCCACGAAAAGCGGCCTATCGCGGATCCCAAGCCAACAGAAGTCACTTGAGGAGGGATTTGCATCCAATGCGTTTCAGGTTTCAAGGCACATCAGCACCCCATCTCGGTTTCGATTATTATTGCGGCCGGTTCGAGCTGAGCATGACCACGGCGATGGTTCAACCATCCAACTACCTGCCCGGTAGGTTAGGGACATGTGTGAACACCAAAGTCACTCACCATGGAACTAGAACGCGTCATTGAGGCGCCGAGCAGGGACTCCTCAATGCTCTTCAATGCATCCACCACCTCCTGCAGGTTATTCGATCGCTGCTCTTCCACAAGCTCTTTCTGGTTATGGGTTAGGCCCCCGACGCACACCAACAGTGGCAGAGAACAGCGGTAAACTCAGAGGATGTTGCACCACACAAGACTTGGCTTTGGAGTAAACGCACGTGGGGTTGGTATTGTTTTCGCCGCGCAACGAGTGAACCCTTGCTTGTCGTCGCCATGCGCAATTACCGACAAAATGACGTACTGTCGTCACAAGGGGTGGTAGCCTTCAAGAAACTTGCTTGTTGAAGTCGGGAAGCACGAACGTTGACGACATTGTCGGGTTGCTGCAACCCAATCGATAGACCGATGACCATGCTGGCGACTTTCCGCGGGCGGGCCTCGGTTGCCTCGGTCCAATGTTTATTGTAATGGTACGTCCCTCTACCTTCAGTGAAGTTTCACGTACTACATACATACGTGTTGCGCTTCAGTCTTATACCAGATGCAAAAACAACAACAAGCCTGCCACATGTGCATGGACGAGAAAGGTCTTTTGCGCTCGAGCAAGGAGACGCTCGCCTGGTTGCTGATGCGTCTCGCCATCTGATTTCGGGTAAACATCATCGCTTTGACAACACTGCCTTCCCTCCGTTCATATTTTCGACTCGTTTTATGAATATCCAGAGACGGACCACACACAGCCGTATACATCAAACACCGCATCTCGTTGTCTATGCCCTCAGATCAACCGCATCCTGCGCACTGAGAAGGTATATTCTCGCTTGTCCAGGAAATCGCTGCCGTTCCGCAGCGCGGTTCTGCGTCGCTGTACAACTTGATCTTCGTTGCCACCCCAAAGCGGAACCCTTTTCGATTCATCACTCAGAACAATCGATATCGTCATCCTGCGACTGCACTTATTTCGTCACCACCTGCTTTCTTACATTTCGCTACTTCGCCGTCATTTGCACCATGGCCGGTGTTGGCGTCAACGCGATGCGTCGACAACGTCGTCTTGCGAAATGTCTGGAATACATGTCGAGCTGCAAGTGTGCAGCACATCACCCGGACCACATCTGTTCCTGGACTAGATCACTTCATTCATCAACGACTAGACTTCCCTCGCGGTCTGGCCACCCGCCCCATTGGGGGGCGAGGGGTCAATCGTTCCGCCTATTACCAGAAAATAGGTAGGCCTACGTGATGAGTTGCGCGACGGGGGGGGGGTGTACTCATGGTCGTGCATGCCGTAGTCGTTAGACCATTGACCTCGCATCCCTACAAAGCCGGGACGGAGCACGCCGGGTTCTCACCGGACCAGGCTCTCACATCACCAAGCGCGAAGCGCCGTGAGGTATTCGGCGAGTCGCATGAAGGGTGCGCTGCATATCCTGCTAAGGGTGTTCGGCATCTATCTTGTGCATACTTCCTTGCATACGGATGACAGCTGCGTATGACTTAATATATTTTCTAGTGCTTCACTTCCAGACAGTTGTAAGCACTGTGCACCTGCCTCGAGGGTGCTTGGCCATTTTAGTACAACGTTTGCATGACGGGGGGAGTCTTTTTCTCACAATGTTCAATTTTTCCGCCAGTTCAATACAATCGTGATGCTCAAAGGTTGAGCTTCTGCGCTGGTCACATTTCCCGTGGGTGAAAAGAAGGCAATTCGACCTGTCGGTGCGTTATACACCATGTTTGCATTTCACATACCGTACATATGTACATGCGTCGGAAGGTTACCACTCACTCACATGAAGCTCCTTTTCGAAGTTGAGGAGACTTTCGAGCATGTTCGTCATCTGTTCGCGCTTAGCATCGTCATTTGCTCTCCCTCGTGCGACGCTCTCCATTTTCTGCAGGATTCGTTAGTTGGACACGCGCCATTCTATGTTACCTCGTGGCGAGATACATTTGAAGGAGTGAAGGGCGCGAGTGCGCATTCTCAGCTCTCGCGTATTTCGGGTAAAGGTGGAGGGTAGTCAGCGATGACACCGTGGTCCATGACACACCTTGTAGCCGCACCTACCCGAGTTTCGTTTACCAAAAGCACCCTCAGACCATCCACGCGAAATCTCTGTCGGTCGCTCTGTTCTTCCGAAGGGCGGTGCCCCGGGTTGGCCTTGGCCACCTCTTCTGCGGCCTGGACACAAATCAGCGCACAACAAACGTATGTATGAGCGCAAGAGTACCCACTGTATGTGAACGGGTGATGCTCACCATACTGAGGGTATTGATTTTCAGAAGTTCTTGGACAAGAAACTCTTTCCGGTTGGTTCCACGAGATGCGGTCCACCGCGACATGCCCTTGCATTGTGTGAATGCCATGCAAAACCTCTGACTGCCAACAACGTTAAGCCGCCCCGGTGACCTACGTCGTGCCCTCACAAGCCATTTATAACTACAGTAAACTTTCTACAGGACTCCGCTCTGGCTTCTGCTGTTCGCTAGTGAGTGCTGGATGTCGCATTTTCGTCTCCTTGGCAAGCATCAAACCTTGATGCGTGTGTCGAGCTCCTTGAGAACGAACCCAACGATAGTCTCATGGATGGAGAAGATCCCTCTCAGCTTAGGTGATGGTCGACATCGCTTGAAACTTTCCCGCCACGCTTTGATGACCTGGTGACCAAGATCATATCATATATGTAGAACAGCATGAGATTCGTTTCGTGCGATAGGCACGAAAAAAGACCTGTCAGTTTTTCGACCATTGGCCGACGTGACCTGGCCGTAGGTATATAGCTGAAATCATGCGGAGTCGGCAGAGGCAACCATGGAGCACGTGCCACACTGCTGGAGGAAGATGAAGTACCGGGTGAGCAGCTGGTCGAGTGCACCTTAGCAATACTCACAGATTACTCTCGGCGTCGCAAGCGCTGCCCGGCATTTGTCTGATATTATTCATTCCAACGCGATCCGCATCGTAATCCTTTCGAAACTCTTCGCTTGCGAGTTCGAAAGGGCATCAAAGAAAAAAGTTCTCTAAATATTGTAGACTATGTCAGGATCGAAAATCGACATGAAGACTAATAGGTCTTCCTATAGTCTGTGCATGTGCATATGTATGGATGTGGGGGCACAAAAAAACAGCAGCTGCGACACATGGACGCCCAGTCCGGAGTCTTTCGAAACCCCCTTTGTGTAAATCTCACCGTCCAAATAACAGGGCCAACATATACAAGTGGACACCCGAGTGAGGCTGTAGCGATAGCAGATAACCCAAGGGCGACAGACACGCCTCCGTACTCGCCGCGCGACCACCAGCCGTTTCTCTGCGGCAAATCCAGGGGTCGCAAGCCGGTGCTGTCGGTCGCGGCGTGTCTCGCGGTCGTGGCGTGTCTCGCATCCCAATGCTTCGTCGCCTCGCACCAATCGTCGAACAATCTGTGGCCCATGAGCTCAACCCCTAGGTCCGTTTTCTCTCCGTCCTGTTTCCACGTCACCCATGGGTCGCACCGTTTGCTCAAGCACCTGTCGTGAATAGACGTGCGTGCATCGAATGTTGCTTGAGAGCCTCTTGTACGGAAACCTTCTTCACCGACACAAACAAGGGAAAGATAAAATCATCATCTCCGGGGTCCGTGGCGGCTTTCGACGTCAAGAGACGTACCTTCCTTTTCAGGGAGGATGGGTACATCCATGTATTTCTCAAGTATGTAGGCTCTACAACGTGTAGCCTAGTCTATGCAATTCAGAGGTATAGACTGTACAGCTTACCCTTAGTATTTGCTTACTGCATATGTACGAAGGACCGGTACAGAGGGGGGCCCGGTACAGTGCAGGTTGAAAAGTGCAGGTGCCCGGTATAGCGCAGGCATAAATCTATGTACACAGACAGCGCCCGCAATAGTGCAGGTCCTGCACTATTGAGGGTGGTACCGCTATAGTACAGGTTGGACACATACACACGAAGACCAACACAACAATCAAGGAGGGAATCATAGCGTGGAAGAGAGCAAGAGCTTCGAGCCAGATGACCTTCACTACAATAGACGACGCAGGGCCACAGAGAAGCACTGCCGAAAAACAAAAAATATGAGAAAGATAATGAATGGTGAAAGCAAGGAGGATGATGATGGCGAAAGCACTCCAAAACGAACTAGAGTGCAACGTACCAGCCTTGGTAGACGCATGCAGCTTTCTTCTGTTGCTACCGTTTCCGTCCTTCATTCGGAGAATAGCTTGGTCTCCCCCATGCCGCCCCGTCACGGGGTTCCCGTTATTGGCACTGACAAGTTTCTTGTGTTTTTAACCGCACTGAGACTGCGTCTTTTCATTGGTCAGCCGGTCAGCGCGGTCGATGCTAATAATAAAGACCCGCAAACACACACAGACTGGAGACAGGCTAGCAGAAGGTAACAGGCGAAGAAACATCAAAGAAGGGGGCATTGATCAGCTTGGAGAAAGCGAAAGGCAAGGGGGTTTTCTCGTGGTTGACAACGCAAGGGTTGTCAGCAGATGAAAGAATGCTGCCTGATCTATATCGAGAGTCAATCGGTCGTGTATTGGGGAGTCATGATCGAGCAGACTGCGACACAGGAAAACTTTGTGGTGCAGATGCATTGCTTCCATGCAAGGACCGCTTGAGCCGAGCCCACTCCCTCGTCTGCACCAAGACCGGCGCCTCAACCTTCCTCCATAACAGGATGGTCCTCAAGAGACTGCGCGAGTGCCATAGACTATCCCCATCGCCGTTGAGAATTATTTCCCTTTTACCACAGACACTGGTGAGGAAAAGGGTTACACAAGATGGATTTGGTAATCCCCCCAGGATTACACGCAGGAGATAAGGAAGAGGAACTCTGCGCCAAGTCCATTCTTATAGACGTAACAATCGTCAACCCATCCGCAGGTCGAAGCATCGACAAGTCGATGCAAAAGCCAGGATTCGCCCTCGAAGATCGAGCTGCAAGTAAGGCAAATCACTATGCGGGAACTTTCAACCCGTCGTCTAGATCTACCCTCCATACTGCTGCTTTTTCAATGAATGGTGGTCCTGGCAAAGGCACCAATCGACTCGTCGTTGCTATCGCCAACCACTTGGCGCACGAAGCGTTTTGCCGGTGGAATTTTGACGACGAAAGAGCCTTAGTTCGCCTGAAAGCTTTCTATACGAGCACGATTTGGAGACGGTTTACCTTCGAGCTAGCTCGTTTTCTGTCGATGCGAACTCGGGATGGATGCGTTCAAACATCATGGGCTACTGATCGACCAACTTCCACCAGGGCCAATCGGTTGGGATCTCTGCGACAACGATAGCAACGAGGGTAGTTCTTTTGGGAGTGACGGCGACGAAGGAAAGGGAAAGGGAAGAAAGGAGGAAGAAGACGACGATGAAGGAGGAAAACATGGAGGAGTGGAAGAGAGCAAAGAGTTTGAGCCAGCTGACCTTGCCCAAAACAAAAAACGTAGGGTTAGGGAACAACTGCCCGGAGATTCTTGTCAAAATGATGATCAGAATGATGGTAGCGAAAACAAGGAGGATGATGGTGGAAGTACTCCTAAACGAAGTCGAGTACAAGGTAGTAATAGTAGCCTTGGTAGACTCGTGCAGTTCTTCTGTTGCTGCTGTTTCTGTCTTTGATCCGAAGGATACTTTAGCCTGCCCCATGCTGCCCCCTCACGGGGTCCCAGTTCATGGCAGATAGAAGTGTTTTGTGTTTTCAACTGCACTGAGACTGACGCCTTTTCATTGGTCAGCAGCATAGCGCGGTCGATGCAAGTAATAAAGATTCTCCCACACACACACACGGACAGCGGACAAAAGCAAACAGAAACGAGGGTACACATGCAGCTGCAGACTGGAAGAGCCCTTCTACGCAGAGGCGCATCATGCCTTACGCGGACGGTGATCGGGCGATGATAACAGCGCATTCCTCTAAGCGGGGCGCCAGGCAGACGTGAGGGATTTTCGCGTAGTGCGGGCGGGGGGTCAGCCGCAGAAAGTAGTAGTGGTTGTTTTCTTGCAGTGCGCTTCCTGTCGTGTTTCTTCATATTTTTTACAATTTTTCTTGCAACATCGAAGGAGGGCAAAGAGAATTGAGATTGGCTTCGTCAGCTGCGTATTAACGTAGAAGTGTTGGTTCGCGCGACAGCAGTTCAGGGTGTGCAGTACAGAACGAGTGCTGAGGCGAGAAGCAAATGACGGTGGAACATGCATGTAATTTTTTTACAACATCTCTGTGTGTGTGACAGGGGGGAACCACAACGCGTCGCGAGACAGTCTGCCCAAGCTGGGACAGGGCCCAGTACTTCTGCAATTCGATCCATTGCGTACCCAGTTAGCCCCGCAAAGCATGAGCGCCACATTGTTGGATGTACTCACAGCATGACAGATTATTTCGAGTCAGAACTTTCCGAACAGATGGAGCGGGGAGATCCGGGGGTTCAACAGTTGGTATGGATTAGATTTGGTGGTACCAAATTTACCACATATTGCATGATTGAGGGTATGGGTGTCTACAGCGGAATTGTGTGCGTGGCTTGTGGTGTCTCACTTCTTCTTTTTCTTTTTCGTGTATAATCAAGTCCTTTTTTCCCGGCTCTCACGCCACCCACCGGCTTCCACGCCACTACTCCGGCTATCACGCCAACCCGGCTTCCACGCCTTCAGGACTCCCACGTCCCTGCATATACCTTTACATCAGGGCTTCTACGCCACCCGGCTTCCACGCCAAAGACTATACCACGCCAAAGACTATACCATACCCGAGCTTCCACGCTCCACCACGAGAGGGCTCTCACGCCCGCAAATAGTTCTACATTCTTCACCGTTGGCAGTACCCAGCTGCTGGCACATTTATTTCCCACCACGGGACCCCGCGCCGAGGCACACACGCACAAAGCTACTCAACACACATCACGAAGTCAAATATCTCCTGAATAGTGCATGTTGGGCACTATTGAGGGATATTCGAAACCTCAATAGTGCCCAACATGCACTATTGAGGCACTCTTTGGAGAGGTGCAGGTGCCCGATTTGGTGCAGGTAAAATCTCTGGACACACCCCTGCACTATACCGGGCCCCCTTCTGTATGTAACAAAACAAACTTCGTAGTAGACTACAATATTCAGTTTTACTACAAGCATTCAACACGGTGTGTTACATATTAGAGACAGCACGCCCGGGCCCAATGTACCATGTTTCCTGGGATTTTCTTTTGTGCGTGCCTTTGTCATATACAGGTACTGATCGACCAAGAAATATTCAGGGCTCACCTCCGGCACCTCACCGCAACTGTCCAAGAACCAAGAACGGCTACACCTTCACCCCTACAGTACATGTATGACGCAAAAGAACTGCTCTCTCGCTCTGTCTCTGTCTCCGTCCCTGTCTTTGACTCTGTCTCTACTGCCTGTCTGCCTGCCTCTCTCTCCCCTTCTCTCTGTCTCTGTTTGTCGCCCTCTCTTCCTCTTCGTATCTCCCTCTCTCCGTAGCTCTCGCACTGATTTATAATTATTTTCTCCCACGCATTTAACACTTCGACGTGTGTACAGCGAGTGCACGAAGAGTAAGAACGCGCACCTGAACCATTCGTCGTGGTCTTTGGCCAGAACCAAGAGCGGCAAGTTGGTCGCATCCTTGTCTGTGGGCTCCAGCGCCCTCGGTGAGCAGGTTTCAATGAAATTGATGTCCTCCGTCGTAGGACCCCTCACCGGATCGGTAATAAGAGCCGCGATCTCGATATATCTATTCCTTCGCGTGGGCGGTGCGGGCCGTTGGCGGCTGTCGCAGCAACCCATGAAGCCCGGCACTGAGACCAACAGTCACACGACCAGGTCGCGATCGGCCTGCATTATTCATGCGGCGGTGACACGGAGACACGCCAACACCGTCGCTGGATTGGGTGTTGCTACAGCAGGGCAGTGCATGTTGGCAACCGGGAGACTTTTCGGGAAGCAAACCCTTGTTCCCTGGTGTACAGAGTTGGGCAATCGGCTGGAATAATATCAGGCTGCGTATCAAATCCCGCCCCAATAATTAGCAGTCTAGCCTACACGAAGCAGAGAATATGTTACACGCGACACGGGCAACGGTTCAGCACCAGACCATCATATGGCATTGTAGGTGCAAAGCGAAGCGTTTTGGGCAGGGGCGGCTACGCACGTCCGCCGTTGCGCAGATCGTCACGTACTTTTTCCACGTCCGTGAGGCCGGAACAGCTCGACATGTGATTCGAGAACACGCTTGCTTCAGGATGAGGGGGGGGCTTACCAACAGCTATCAAAGATTTGCGAGTGGGCCACTCCTCCTGCTGTAGACCGAAGGCCGGGTTGATGGTGGATTGGCTAGGTGTTGCTGGGTTGTGGGGTATCCTTGCTTCGGGCCGGGTGCACATAGTCTATATATTTTTTTGTCTTCACTTCAAATCAGCGCCAACAGAAATAAGTAGTGCCGTTTTCTCCAACCCGTGGTCACACAGAAGAGCCCCTATTTACCCTCCCCTCTTGCGGTACTTTGCATTCGATTGTTAATGCGAGAAGAAGAGTTCAGCACTCTCTTCCCTCTGTGTACACACAAACTAGCGCTATCCACTAGGCCAGGAGCGGGAGCGAGAGAAAAACTCACTTTGCATGAAAGACGCGCTTATGCCGGCCTGACCCGCCCTCTTGAAGGTTTTGAGGTTTCCAACTAGACCACCGGGGCGACAATTAATAATTTATCTATGTAAGCTGTGTGGAGACCGGTCATCATGTGCTTACGCCCTCTTTCCTCCTTTCCCTCAGAGGTTCTTTGGGCGACTCGAAACTTCGAAATAAAATTCTTCGGGCTCAAGTCTGTCCTGTCTCTTCGCAGCCGGGAGCGCTTCTTGCTGTTTCGAGAACTTCCAAACAAATATTTTATTTTCACCATGTGCTACCAGATTCACAAACGACAACAACCTTTCGCTCGTGCGTTTTCGTGCGCGGGCATACGCAAGGAGGTAGAGAGTGGGTGAGCGAGGGAACAACCAACAACATCGGAGAAGGCACGACGACGAGGCTGTACTTCTCTTTCTGCCACCAATTGGCCTTCTTAAAACCGACCCAAAGAAAGGCAAGCAAGGATGGAAGGCGAAACTTTGGATAGTGCGGTGGACCCCAACATGACCTCCCATGCGGTCGATTTCACCTGGAGGTTTTTCTGCTTGGTGCTGGTGCTCCTCCTGCAGGGGGGCTTTGCGTCCTACGAGGTGGGTCTCTCGTTTGCAAGGAACACGCCGCCCTATTCACGATGTTATATGCTGCTGAACAGTCCTCTTAGTGCCGCCGGTGTGTTGTTGTTGTTGTTGTTGTTGTTGTTCACATTAACTCGTGTCAGTTGCTAATCCCAAAATCTAGCAAAGGCTCGGTCCGTGGTCACAAAAATGCTGGAGCCATCAGAAGATCTTAAGAACACACAAGGAAAGGTTACGCAAGCCCGAGGAGGTACACCTGCAATCCCTGCAGCACGTTTGCGTCACAACTGAAGTACACGCCCTCACACTACAAATCGTCTACAGCAGCAGCATCACCCCCGTTGTCCCGCATTTAACCAAAATGACTGTTTGTCGACTACAGCGTACTGCTGTCTGAAGTGCTGTCTGTACAACAACAACATGGTGCATGGTACACAAGCTCGGGGCATGCAGCTGCTGTCTGAAGTGCTGTCAGGATGAGTCCGTGGACATACAATGAAGAACACCCAACCAAAGCCATCATCATTGCAATTGACAATCACCCGAATCTTTCCAGATCATCTGTGTTAGGCACAGCAATGTAAAGATCGACACTGACTAGGAATCGTTCCACATTGAAGGGGTCTTCCACGATGTTGTTGTTGTTGTTGTCTTCACATTAAACCGCATGTCAAGTTGCTAAATACCAAAATCTAGCAAAAGACTCTCAACCCGTGGTCACGAAAGTGCTAGGCCATCTGAGGATCTAAAGAACACGCACGCACACGTATGACGAAAAAAAGGTATCCAAGAGCCCGAAGAGGTACACCTAAAAATCCCTGCAGCACCGAATGCGTGCCCAAAAACTGAACTGCACGTCCGTCCCACCGTTCGACTACAGTAGCATCACCCCCTCCCTGTCCCACTCTTTACCAAAACGGAAGATTGCCGACTTCAGCACCTTTGATGGCGAAGCCAGGTTACTGAGGCAATACAGCTCCCTCTAGCAAACCTAGGGCCGTGTAGTGCCCGTCCACCTTTCTGATGGTGTCTGCCTCCGCGCACAAAAATGAGATGGACATCACTGCCTACGCCCACGGCCAGAAAGGCCCGCGCATCTACATTTTCACGCCTGACCCCATCAGTGCCGACCCAACTCCACCACCACACGCAGGCCTCGCGGCGGATGCGCAGCAGCAAGAAGGTTTCGGTCATCCCTTGAGGGTGAGTCTAGCCCTGCTCGCCAGAAAGACCCCCCCCTTCGCTACAACCCATGTCTAAGCAAAAGCTTGTCGAGGAGCGAGGGGAAGAAGGGAGAGATGCAGGTACACAATTAAGGCACCCGGATTGTCCGCGTCATCTCCGCCGCGTCTCTCTACAAAACCAGTGACGTCATCACACACACCCAACACCTGTATTCAGAAAAAAAACGGAAAAATAATTGACAATACAAAAGATGTTTGTCCGTGCGCCACGGTTCGATGCCGTCCGCATGCTCCGGTTCCGCTGCTCCGGTGCCGCTACAACGGTGCCGCTGCTCCGGTGCCGCTGTGGCCAGTCCTAGCACGACCAAACTCGACCCGCTCCGCTTCGTACACGCTCTCGTTGCTGTCCTTCCCAGTCGGTTCCTCGCTTTCTCCCTCGTCGCACTTAGGGTTCTCGGTCTGAAGATTCTCGCGCCGAAGGGTCAACCAGCCCAATCAGCTCGTCACCACCTGTCCACTCCTCCTTTGATGGCAATACCAGGTTGCTGAGACAGTACAGCTCCCTCTAGCAAACCTAGGGCCGTGTACATAGGGCCCGTCCACCTTTCTGATGACGTCTGCCTCCGCGCACAAGGATGAGATGGGCATTGCTGCCTACACCGACGGCCTGTAGGCCCGCGCATCTGCACTTTTGTACCTGACGCACCAGTGCCGACCC